TTCTTCGTCGTGCGGTACGTGGAACCGACGACGATTAGAGAGAGAAAGAGTCGAGCGTGTGACGTGTCGCGATCGCCTGTGTTTTTTTGTCGTGAATGGATGCTGGAAGTTACTAGAATGTGTTCTATCGTGCGCTTGATGTCCTGTGAAATTGAGTCCAGCGAGCAGATTTCTTCCTTAATTCACTGTCAGTTCGACTGTTTTTTTCCTTGTGAATCAGAATTAAACGCAATAAGAATGTTTCCGTGTTAGAGATTGATCGACGTGACGCGAGTTTCTTCGTCGAGAATATAGGTTAGGTTACAGTGCTTCGTTAACGAACTTTTCAGCGGTTTCTTACTTCTTCGTACAATTCGTATTTATCGGTATAGGTTATGTCGTCGAATTTCTTGTATTTCTAACGAATTTTGAAATTAGTCTTTTACAACTAGGAATTTTACGAAATTTACATTCGAATTGAAGCCTGAGTGAGAATTCACTGTCAAGTAGAACTTTTTAGATATGGCGTGCTTTTGGCGCGTTTAACACGTTCGCTGCCACCGACGCACCATATGCGTTTCAGACTGTATCTCTCAGCGTGCTGTCGAGTTTGCAGCGAACGTGTTGAATTCGAAATACTTTCAGCTACTTATCTAGTTTAGTGTTATAAAATTAAAATGTTAAAAAAAAAAAAATTAAAAAAGTTTGATATTTGCAATTAGTTTCGCCATACACCAACGAAAACCAGTATTTTACCTAGAAACATGAAAGGCTCTGCTGTGCCAATCCACGGTTAATAAGATTTCGACATAGAAAAATTGAAGAAAAAAAGAAGCAAAAAAAAAAAACGTCCGAAAGAAATGATCTCGATTCGATTCGAACGAAATTATACGTCAAATTGCATTTGCACGATGTTTTATGACGAGGTAACATTGGTGTCCCGATTTCCTTGAACCAAATGATATCCATTCGGCGGCACGAATCAATTTGGTCGATCGCGATCGATAGCCGCTTGCACGAAACGTGCAATCTGTCCTGCCGTGTAATTATGCCGTGGGCCCGTTTAATGGTTCTTAAGCGACGAATATTGATCACGCAGGAAGCGAGGGCCTCCCCGGGTCAAATTGCCGGCCGAGCCGCGGATAAATCATCGGACAATTTGATCCATTAATTTCCCGTTTTTAAATCGACCCCAGCTGTGTTCCTCTCTTTATACGCCACCGAACTTTCTCGTTCCGTTATCCTTTTATACAGGCCGTTTCGCGATACACGATAAATTCTGCGCTTGAAAATGACTGTTTAGAAAAGTTAACCCTTCGTACATAGGCGATCCGGGTCTTTAATGACCCAAGAGAAATTTCGATTTTATTCTTATTTTTATCGAAAAAAAGTTTCGAACATTCGACTGAAAGAAACAATTGTATAATGTTGCAGGGACTTTGATAAGTACTCGAGAATTTTTCCTGATTTTTTTGGAAGCTTGAAACAGTAAAAAAAATTAGACTTGAATGCGAACGACTCGGTTTGCCGTCGGAGGATTAAGACAAATGCTTGAAATTGAATGGGAAAATGTTTCGAACAAAAGCTCGTTGGTATCGAATAAAAAATTTATCGATGTGAAAAAAAAAACATCTTCGAAAGTAGGACAAATTATTTCATATTAAAAAATAAACAATATATACCATATTAGCATTTTATTAGAAAAATTATATCGCGTAACTCGTCGATACGTCCGATTAATATTCACGAGGGGAGGTAAAAGAATCACGTCGCGATGCACTATTTTCGTGCGTTCGTAGATCACGATTATGATCGCGCGGCTGTCTCGAGAACGTCGTAGAGGGTTATCCGCTGATTAATCGGAAGGCAAATATTTGTCCAGATCCCGATAAGATCCACGCGAAGCATCTACTTTGGTCACAGCTGACTGCCTCCCCCGTTCCACCGGTGACTCGCGCCGCTGGAATCTGAAAAATTCCGCGTGCCACGCTTCCCCTAACTCGCACGAAAATAGGCCGTAGATATTACACGTGGCGTGTTTTGTCGAGTATCGACGGTGTACTTACACAGCCAGTGACGAGCAATCCGTGGCCCGTCAATTATTTCCTTGGAATCCGTCGAAGTTCCGACAAATTCAGCGTTTAGCAATATATACGGGGTGTCTCGTTTGTAATGAACGTTTAAATTATTTTCGATGATAAGAAAGAAATTGACACTGAGAGGAATTTATGTATAGTTTCAAGACGTGTATCTGATGATGATAAAAGAAATTCCTCCGAAAGTCATTCTAAACGAAGGTCATTCCAAGGTCGTCGACATTTTCTTTTTAAAAATCCCTCCAAAGCTATCTTGAATGAAGGTCACTTCATGGACATCTACATTTTCTTTTTGAAAATCCCTCCAAAGTTATCTTGAATGAAGGTCACTCCAAGGTGATCTGTGGTGGAAATCAAAAATACCAACCTGTAAATTAACAATTTTTAAATTAGTAAATTAGATTTTTCAAAGTCAAAGTTGCAACGGCTACAGATTATTATCTTCTAAATTTTGGCTCGCAGCAAATAACAGTTGCTCATCACTGGCTATACAGCAAGTGTGTGTGTGTATACAGTCTTTATGCTCGGTTCCGTTAACGGCGTGTTAAAGACCCATGTTACAGGGTGTGTGAGGTGACGGTTGATGGCTAATAAAAAAAGTATTATGCATTGTATTATGATGTCATTGTTGGGACGTAGGTTAAATTTGGAAGGTACGCGGCGGTGTTTGACGGTGTCTTTATTGCGTCGTATAGAATTAAACTGGTAAACATGTACATAGGATAGCGTAAAGGTGACGATTAGCCATTGGAATCACTGTTGAGTCTGTCGAACGAGTTTTGTCGTTTCTTAAACTCGTACTTTTTTCTCTTTTCTTTTCTATCTTTCAGTTTTAAAAATTGTAAGACCCGTTAAAAATCCCCAATTTAACTTAGAACGTTAGCTCGAGTTGTAAAATCCACTCTGAGGCAAATCTGTCAAGAGAAAGAAAGAAACTGGGATAGTGACGTGCAGTCAGTCAGTCAGCACGGCGAGTACACGTACCCAGCAAGGTCATTCGGAACAATTTCCGTTACGCGTCTACTGGTAAACGATCCGCTACACCGTCGGCTCGCTCGCAGAATGGCCGTGGTAAACAGAAAATAACAGAAGCGTCGAAACCTCGCGTGAAGTAGCGTTAACTCACCAACTTTAGGAGTTTGTTATTTCGGTTTTGCCGTTAACTCCTACGAGCCAACGACAAGAGACATTCGCCAGACCACCGCGAACCCCCCCTCACTCCTCAGGCCCCTCCCCATTGTCCGACGGCTGATGATGAGGCGTCGTGTTTCCGTCGTGTCACGTCGTGACCGATCGTGTCTACCCCCTCTCCATCTATCCGTACGCGCTCGAAAATAACCGAAACACGCGATATTACCGCACTCTGTGACGCAAGATCCTTGTTGCTCCAACGGATTTATATGTTATCCAGCGATGACGTATACGAACATGTTTCACAAGGGAAGCAATAGGACGGACAAAATTGAGTATCTTAGGAACGGTGAGTTTTAGGGTTAATGTGTAGACTGTGGAAGCGATACAGGGAGATGGTAAAATCGGTCAGGAAGCTTGTGGGTTAACCTATTCAGGGACGACTTTTTTTAACGTTAGGTTTACGGGACGAATTTCACGAGGTGATAGTATATATGTTGTTTTTAAAAGAATAATTTGCGATTTCGTTCACGCGTCAGTGGAGATAGGTATGTAAGAAATATCTGTAAACCTAACAGTGTTAAGTTAGAAAAAAGTGATATAAATTTTGAAATATTTAAGTGTCCTTAAAGAGGTTAAGTTTCTTCCATTGCAGAATGTAAAGATTTGATTCTACATCTTAGATTCAGTTTTTCACGTACATCGCTAGTTACATTACACAAAATACAGTGTCGTACGAGAAATTTAAAAATCTTTTTATAAGAATAGCGTCAATTGAAGGTATGCACATAAACGTCAGAGCTTCTAAAATTCACCGAACGATGGTGGTAGTGAAATTAAAAATTCCCCGTCGACTCTGTAGAGTGTTCTATAGTGAATGGTTAACGCAGCCAGTGGTACGCGTTGTATCGTTGCGCGATCGCCGTTTTGTCGAGTCGCGTCAATGGGAATAATCGCACGGAATTCGTGTCGTCCTCGTGAGTACGATCAAAAGGTCTTTACGTACTACGGTGAACGGAACACCGTGGGCTTCTTTTCATCCCCTCTCTCTCTCTCTCTGCATCCTCCTCACCCCTACCACCCTTCAGTTCCCTTTTATGAGAACACTTACAATGGAGGACCACACGCATACCGCGGTGACCTCGAAGCGAGTGCGCTTCTTACAGGGTCAGGGGCACGTGTCATCTATCTTGGAGAGGTTCATATTCACCCGGTGACACTAATGCCTGCTTTATCTGCGCTGGAACGCGCGTCCTTACGTTTTTTGCGCGGAGAATGTATGCTCGATGACAGGCAAACGGGCCTCGTCTACTGGAATATAGAGTTTATAGGGTTTTAGGATTTGGTTCAAGAGGCTCGATAGGTTTCAGTATTACACTATCTTTATCGTGAATTTTTTGGACGACAGAGATATAGATAGTTTTTTCTTTTTAGGTTAGGTGTAATTATGGGAGATTTATGTAAGTGTCTGCTTTTAGGAATAAATTTGGTTTTTGGGAGAGATTGTGCGGATGTTTCAGTCTGTTAGAATTTTAACTGTTGCTTGTCAATTGTTTATTTACTTATGAGCATAAACCTAGTATAGTATATAATACTACATTATTGTTATTATTATTTTAGTTTTCTATTATTTGTAATATGTATATATATTATAAATCAAGAGAAAAAACAATAGAAAAAAGGTAAATACTATAGATGTGCTCTCTAGAAATATACTTTGTCAAAATTTGTATAAATTGTTGTGCATTTCATATTTTACTTTTTAATTAAAAGTGAATTGAATTAACGTTGCAGTGGCCGACGTGGTTCTATCGGCCAGACTTTCCTCTCGGCACACCACTGCCCACCAGCCACGTCTCAAACGCCAGCAGTGTTCCAACTTCGTCGCCTTTGTCCTCCAGGACTCACTCGGAGGCGCCCAAGGCACTTGACTTTCTCGACAGCACCAAGATCCATGGACAGACACCGACAATATGCACGGTAAGATCTATCACAGAATTTTTTTGCAGCATTTACAGGATTAAGTTGGAATTCTAAACAACCACTGGAATATTTATATATTTATTTTTATAAATTGTCTAATGTAATTCACAGTATAAATATGTGCAGGTGTATTGTATTCAAGTTGGAATATAAACCAGATTATCATAGAATGGGAATTATTCTCAGCAAGTAAACAAACCACAATTTCAATTTACCCTTCATACATAAAAGGACAGAGCAATGCACGAATAAGTCAGACTACTTTCCAAAGAATAATGAGTCTGTATTACTCACAATATTATCAAGGTTATTCTATAGTAATCATCTCCAGCATTCAGTGACAATATTCAGTTCTCATCACGAATTCAACATTATTTCACAGAATCATACATATACACTAGGGTCTAATTTTTATTTTTTACTAAGCTTCTGTCATCAGGTGTCATTTCATATTTAATTCACGAGCCTCCTCATATATATACACACCTAAAAAAATTATGCTTCAGTTATACAATGGTAAACTAAAGAAAAAATTAATACAGATAATAACCCTAAAATGTTTTCACACTTAAAAAACTTCTGCCTCAGTTATACAATGGTTAACTAAAGAAAAATTAATAGAGATAACGGCCCTAAAATATTTTCATCGAGCAACTATATTTGTCAGTAGAAAATGGCGTCTGACCAGAAACTTCTGAACCTTGCAATTATTGTAATCACACCTGGTGAAAATATGCATCGATGTCACACAAGTTGCATAGTAAAACAAGGAAATTGAGTGGTCGCAGGGGGGTTGTTTGTGGATAGATTGAAACGTTGCATCGAACGTGATCCTGTGATCGATAATAGGCTGTCTATGGCGTGTCTGAAAAGCGAGCGAGTCTCGTTACGGTGTCGTTATTAAAATTCCCGTCGGGAGCGCTGTCGCCTGCGCTGAAATTATCCTCTGATTGATCGCCGGTCATTTTTGCAAAATACTCCGTCGAGCCACTCGATTTTTATGCCGATGGGTATTCGGTGTGTGCCGTGCCAGTTTCCTGCACAACTGAGTGCCCTGGAACTGGAACAATTCGAGTTTGTTGAGGAATTAGATTACTTTTGATTAACGAGGTGGGGAGAGTCGTATTTTAGTGAGGTGTGGTTTACAAAAATTTCAATTTACGACAATCTCATTGTAAAGTTGTTACTTCAAGTCGGTACTTGGACAAAGTCTGACAGAAAAAATATAATATAACCTTAAGAACAGTATAAATAAATATTTGATTCCAGAATGAGCATTACGTTATTCTAAATTTCTAACCTCAAAATACACGGTTGACCACGTGACGCACACTGACACAACAACGCGCAGAGAGAGAGAGAAAATTTCATCCACAGTCTCTCATTCTCCCACAAAAATGAAGAGAGAGAGAGAGAGAGAGAAAGGGGAAAAAATCGATATTCAATTTACAATTTTGTCACGGGGCGAGCACACACGAGTTTGCGGAAGCGTGGGGCATGCATGCCATTTATCGAAGCGGGGAAACGAGAGGAGCGGAAGACGAAAGGTAGGGGGGAGAGCGCGTTCGAGTCATTCGTCAAGATCGAAGCGACGCGCTCTTCCCCTGAAACGATAAAACCGCGTGGGCGTGTGTGGCTCGTTAGGCCGCTGTCGTGGCCCCTCGTTAGCGGCGATGCGGCCGCAACAAATGATTTAAATATAATACTTAATAACGGCACATATGGGTGGTGTATTCAATGGCGGAACACTTTTGTTTCTCCATTATTATTATTCCAGCCGCGGTAAATCGTGTCCCGCGATATTAATGGCGCGTACGGGCCGCGCAGTCGCGGCAGCGATCAATCTCGTTGTCACAATTAAATGCGCCGGCACACCAGCCCGGCCGAAGAATAATTTATATCCGGCTACCCACGTGAAGGAACACCAGAGTGTTCGAGCGGGTGAACGAGATCGCGCCATCTCCTGTCCCCCCCTCCCCCCCCTCTCTTTCCAATGGTTCGGAGCTTAAAGCATTGATGATTTTGTCGGAAAAAATCCAACCGTGTTGGCGATTGTTTGGACGAGGGAAGCGACGGCTTGAAGAGCTTATGGTGATTCGATTAGCCGGTGTGTTATCGGTAGAAGGCGTTCCAAGTGATTTGTGTTTATGCAAGTAGGTATCAGGTTAGGTAGATGTGTCTGCTTCTACCGAGAGGAAGCTGTGATTGGGACTGATGTTTTTTAAACTGAATTTTCCATGTAGTCGTTGATGGATGTAACGTATGATTGACAATTTTTACTATGAAGTATCTCGCGTGTGACGCATCCAAGAAGATTTTGCAATTCCATACCCTATTTGCAACAATGTGTGAACAGGATTTTTAGAATTCCGCGCTTTACTTGCAACAATGTTCGTAAAGTTTGCTCGAATTCCACCCCTTACTTGCAACAATGCCTAAGATTTTTTTTAGAACTCCATACTTTACATGCAACAATGTGTAGTAAGATTTTTTTTAGAATTCCATACTTTACATGCAACAATCTGTGACAAGGTTCTTAGAATTCCGTACATTTGCTTGCAACAATTTGTAACAAGTTTCTTAGAATTCCATACTTTACTTGCAACAATGTGTGACTACCTTTAACCACGCACGTTATACTTGAATTGAAAAGTATGTTGCGTGCAACACGTCTAACAAGGTTTTAAAATTCCTTACTTCGCCTGCAGCAATGTGTAGCAAGATTTTTTTTAGAATTCCATACTTTACTTGCAACAATCTGTGACAAGATTTTAGAATTCCGTACATTTGCTTGCAACAATTTGTGACAAGTTTCTTAGAATTCCATACTTTACTTGCAACAATGTGTGACTACCTTTAACCACTCACGTCGTAATTGAATTGAAAAGTATGTTGCGTGCAACACGTCTAACAAGGTTTTAAAATTCCTTACTTCGCCTACAGCAATGTGTAGCAAGATTTTTTTTAGAATTCCGTACTTTACTTGCAACAATCTGTGACAAGGTTTTAGAATTCCGTACATTTGCTTGCAACAATTTGTGACAAGTTTCTTAGAATTCCATACTTTACTTGCAACAATGTGTGACTACCTTTAACCACGCACGTTATACTTGAATTGAAAAGTATGTTGCGTGCAACACGCCTAACAAGGTTTTAGAATTCCTTACTTCGCCTGCAACAGTGTGTAAGAAGATTTTAAAAAAATTCCCCACGTTTACTTGCAACAATGTGCAACACGGACCACCTTCAACCGCATGCGTCATAATCGAATTATAATTAAACAGCTTTATCGTAGACGTTACCGTTCCACCAGGAGTTCCTTGCAACCAATTTCACACGTTCAATCACACAGTTGTACAATTATCTTTCCCCACAAGCTACCATAACCTCGAAACTAACCGACGTATACACCTAATTGAATACCACGAGCAACAGTAACATAAATACAAGCCAAGGCATCGCCAACGAACGCCGTTTCAATTGCCAATAATGGTATTAGCTTTTCCGCGTTAATCAAAATCGCCAGCACCCGTTAATCCAGCAGGTGGAGTTGGAGAAAAAAAAAACAGAACACCGGGCATTAAGCACACTGTAAAGAAGAAAGCGCGCTGTTCGCCGCGCATGCGCGCGGGCATGCGCGCGCACACACCTATTGCCTCCTCGCTCTACCGAAGTGCACGCAGTTTGATTAATGTTAAAGCTCAAGACTGATCCGGCAAATAATTGGCTCGCAGATTAATTGTTTTTTGATGGACCACGGTTGTCCGTGTTTTATTTATGTTCATTCTCGCCGCGCGAGCGTAATTGAAAGTCAAAAGGGAGGCAGCACGCCGCGGCGAAACACCCGTGGAACGGTGGCCATTGTAAATATTCGAAGGCTTAGAATCGCGTGCGGATGTAATCGATACCGCGGCCAATTTGTTTCGCGTTAAAAAACCGAGCCTCGATCGCTTATAAGTCGATAGCCCAGCCTCGTGTGATCGATCTTTAACCTCTCTACCGTATACACGTGTACGTATTATACGTGGAAACGCGACTAAACGGGTATACGTGTGATATTTAGCGGTACGTTGGACAGTTGCACGCCGGACTTTTATAATGGCGCGACGTCCGTTGCGTACGTCGACTCTAATTTGCCATTGATTTATGAGAAATCGCTGCTTGTTCCGTATCGGGATATTAGCTCGGCGATACGATAATTTTGATGTATCGGCTGAACTTGTCTTCGAGGTAGAGAGCTGGTACGTGTAATATATTTCGATCGCGTTTGATTGGACATTTTTATGTAGTGGCGGATTATACAGGGTGGTTCTATTGTAGCGTTGAGGGAATTGGAGGTTAGGGAGTAATTTTGCATCGTTTAGTGTGCTTCTTCACAGTTTATACCTAACCTGTGCAAAATTTTTGAAATATTCGCGGGAAATTCAAAATTGCAGGACTTAAAAATTCACCGATGCACAGATATCTGTAAGTGTACTTTTTTTTAGAATGTTAATGAAGTACCGTTACCCTAGAATCATTTTGTATACTTTGTACCTAACCTGTACTAAACTTTTCCAACATTCTCAGAAAATTCAAAATTGCTGGACATAAAAATTCACAGACAAACTTTTTTGTTTAGAAAGCTAATAAAGTATCGTTGCCATAGAGCAGGGGTTCTCAAAGTGCGGCCCGCAAACTTTAGAAATGTCACTTTGTATACTTTGTAGCTAACTTGTGGAAAATTTGTCCAACATTCTCAGGAAATTGAAAATTACAAGACATAAAAATTCGCAGACGTATGCAACCTAACCTAACTAGTACGTCTAACCAATTAAAAATGCTACATTTTTCCCATAGGAGGCACAATGTTGCCATAGGAAGTAACGGCGTCACAGGGTGCACTTACGGCTGGGCTCATTATTTCACCGTGCGTTTATGAGCGAACCACCGACGTCGGTACCCACGGTTCGTCAGCTTTTATTTTTCCCGATAATCCATTTACTCGCGTCTATGCA